CGATTCCAAGTGGGGTTACCCTACTTAGGGTGGTTCCTAGGTATCGGGTTCTGGTATTCCTAACAATAGTCTTCCATTGGGAAGGCTTTTCTGAGTGTTTATTTGGAGGCTTGGATGCCACAAGCCGCAGCAACCTTAACAAGTTACATTCAACGATGAGCAGCACTTATGGTAACTGTAACTACCAGTCAATGACATGTGAGGGTGTTGAGAGAAAATTTCCTTCCTTTGGGCTTTTTGGGGGTGAAAGGATACTGACAGATATTGAAGACAGTGTCGAGACTGAGATTCTGATCTTCTGCAATCTGTCTGTAGGTCCAGCCTGCTGAATTTCGTAAGGCTTAGACAGTGTATCTTTACTTATACGATGTCCATTTACGCTTTGGGTTTTCTATTTTTTTGGATCATATTCATGTAAGTTACAGTTCATAATTCTCTCTGATTGGGAATAATTTACTTACCGGTAATGTTTTTCCAGTTTGGCAGTTAGTATATAAATGTTTTCAATATTTCACAGAATTGTTACTTCTTGCTAAGATGGCGTGGACCCAGGAACTATACTCTCTTTTTAATCAAATTTCTCTCTTTTTGATTACTTTTACACTAACTACTTTTGCCATTTACAGGTATGATTTGATGTCCTTGTCAAAGGTATTGGAAATTATGTTATTCCTTTCCTATCTGGTGATGGGGCAGTGTTGGCCATGCGACATAGCCACATGATCAAGTATATATGCTATTGTATTCTAGCATATCTAGATATTTCCTTGGTATGAAGCATTGTTCGTGTAATAATAAAGGAGTATATAAAGGACAGGTTTAGCCCTGTTCTTAGAGAGAGTGTACAAGCTTGGATTAATCTTTAAGTCTTCAGATTTTATTGTGGTTATCATTGTTACTTCATTATCACAACAGTTAGTACAATAGATATAAATATTTTCAAAAGGGTTTCAAGCTCCCGGGACCCCCTGATGTTCAGTCCGTTCATGCCAGGGACTTGTACTATACTCGTACTGAATAGCATCCGGGCATGGGCCATAGTCTAAAGGGCGGAAAAATGGTCAGCAATATCCTATGGGGTAGTGAAAAACTAGTCACTAACTTACCGATATTAGTGGAAAAAAAAAAAAAAAAAACAAGGCCAGGTTGACATGAGCAACCTGGTGTAGGTAGTCTACTCGTACCGTAGATTAGACTACTAGGCGAATTATCTTGCAAACAGGAGGAGGATGTTCAGGTGGTATGGTGAGGTAAGAATCATGAAACGGGGTTCAGTACGAGTACGTACAGGTTGGTCCCATAGGGATTGCTCGTGACCCCAAGTATCCCTTCAGAGTCTCTCTACTCGAGTAGACTAGTTCACACATCTTTGGAGGAAAGTACGGTAAGTAGCAATGCAACCGGTCTGGGTTTCTATATTTCCCTTCATGGTGTTTATACAAGTACTGTACTCGAGTACTGTAGATTGATCAACATGATCCCTGCTTTGCCACCGCGGGTTTTCCGCCCTTTATGACCGTGCCCGAGCACAGCACTATCATATCATTCCACAAGTCGGAACAAAAGGTTGGCAAGGTGCGCAACTAAATTTTGGCAAAAGTGGTGTGATATACCAGAGAAAACATGGAGAGTTGAGAAGATCTCTACCGGTAGATTATCTTCTCTTGTCCCAGTCAACTTTGAGCAAATGCAATCGATGGGTCAGGTGCAATACACCCACCATACCACCATCAGATCCAACCCCAGATACGTAAATATCCCAGCGTCGAGCAATGTTTTATCCGTCCACGCGTGAGGCATTCGATCTCACGTTCTTCGGATACCCCGATCGCCCTACCTGCCGCATTGAAGGGCAATACCGGTATTAGGGGTATTCGGTGTTGGAAAAAGATGGTGTTTCAGTGACGGGTAAACAGGGGAAGTCGGATCAGGTTACTATCATACGGTGCTATGATGATGTCCTCGCATTTTTTTTGGCTAGCTTTGAATTCGCCAAGGCGAGTTAACCTAAGATAAAGCATCCCTTTGTCCATCGGGCTCTGGGCGCAAGGGGATCTGGCCAAGGAAATAACGAGATCTGGAGATCATCCTTCCTTGACTGGAAGTTAATTGCCAAGGCTTTTCATACTGAGACCTTTTTATCAGTACAAGTACTTGTATCATAATTTATCATACCGATCTCCTACCGTACCGCTGGTAGACGCTCTGACGGGCCAAGGGACACAAGTTGGAACAAAGCCTGACATGTGCGAGAAAGAACTCTGTGCTCGTGCCCGTTTTAGCAGAAAACTCAAAAAATTTTCTCCTTTTACTTCATGCACGGCCGTGGCCGTTGCAGACTTCCCTCCGGCACCTTACTGCCCGGCACGAACATGAAGGGAGGGGGGAAAGAAGGAAAGAAAGAAAGAAAAGTAACTTATCGTGCAAGTGCCCACCCCACAAGAGAACCGCCCAAATCAATACATAATTACCGGGTTATCCAGCGAAATAATCCTCCTCGCCCTACTCGAAAACACCTTGTAACCGCCAAACTTGCTGTACTCGTACATGAGGTATCATAAAGCAAGGTGTGCTCGAACTTTATCGACTTTGAACATGATACTCGTACAGTATCGGTAAGTACGAGTGCCGGTACGGTACCCCTAGGATATCTTGTTTATTAAAAGCCACACAACCAGAACCATGGGGCCAGTTAGAGCACCCACCAATGTCTCACCGCGATAACTGTGCGGTACTCGTACTAGTACTGTACGTCAGCTCATCCTCGACCGACTGCTAAAAACCGTTATCATATTTATCTGCAAGTACGGTATGATATCTGTCTGCCCGGGGTATATGATACACTTCCCCCTCATTTTTCTTTGCTTTTGCGATAATTACCTTTCAAGATGTCTCAACAATTCAAACGGTAGACTAAGCTAAACTTATAATACTGTATATTATCCGAACTGGGCGCTGCGCCTGACCTTCCGGGGATGGATACTCGGTAGACTACGAGTACCGGTGTGGTGCAGGGCATTTGAAATCAACCACTGATGGGTAATTCATTTGATTACATAATACAAACGAAGCGGTGGGGCTCGGCAAAATAACTTTGAAGACGCCCATACCGGTACTCGAGTACAAGGGTAGTTTGGGGACTCACTATCTTCACCACTATTATTACCGGTACTCTGGCTGAACCAGAAAACATAGAACCAGAGGGGAGTGCCTTCTGATTACTTCCGTGGGGCCATATCTTCCTAAGGATGTGGTTGTGGTTGGGGACTTTTGAAAATTATTCTTTTACGAGTAGTTGATTTCAAGTGCCCGCCACCATACGGTACCAGTATCGTAGGTATCATACCTTTTTATCACCGTACCGGTGCTCTAGTATTGTTTTTGCATTCCGCTCGGTATTTGTATGTGAGGGCGGCACACGAAGACTGGCGTCTATGATACTCGAGTATCATATTCTGCAGTCTGTAGGAGTATGATAAGTGCGTCGCAGTTGGTGGTGGTGCGGGTTCCGGGCATATCGTAGTACGATACCACATATCCCCGGTAAATTATGCAGTTGGTTGGGGGCATGATTTCTTTGAATATCCCCCCCTTCCCCCCTTTTTTCTTTTCTGATGCGTCCTGGAAGAACAGCTCGCCCGTGGAGACGCTTTGCTAACTTCGATAACTCTTCCTATTATTTAGTAAAAACTAGTTGTGGTGAAAGCTTACAATGTCCATCAAGGCGTGTCCGAGGACAGTCATCTAAAAGGTTCTTGCTGTTCTGTTGGTTCTTGCTGTTCTGTTGATACCTCATGTTTTGCTCTTGGGGTGAAGGGGGGGGGGATATAAGAACTTTACGGACGTGGCTACCGTATGTGTATATCACTGTCAAAATGGTAATGGATTGTATCACCGTAGGACCTATTGTGCCATTATGGTCTTTCTCGTTGTGTATCATAATGCAGCGTATGATACGTGCTCCGCTGTCCATAATAAGTGCTGTGCCCGCACCGGGGGTGGTCTCTCTCTTCCCTCCCCCCTCCACAGGTACTCTTGGGACCAGGAAACGAGGGTTGGGGGGGGATTCTGGAGAATCTCTCGGGGGTGCGGTGATGCGATTACCGTATTATGATATCCCACGTGCGACGAGATTTAAGACGTATACTGTGAGCCTGATGGGAAATTGAAGTCCCAATACCGTACACGGCGCTGTGCTCGAGTACTATTTGAACCTCTGCAGACAGCAGACCACTGCCGAACGCTGGCTTCATAGAAATGAAATGTTTTCAAAGTGCTGCGCCGGTACAGAGACGGCTCATGCTTGATTGGCAGCCGGGAGTAAATTATGGGCGGCCCCTGATAATGGTGAACACGAGAGTTGGGAGGGAGCTCGGTTATCAGAAATGGCGGTTTCCTGAAATCTCTACGGTTACAGAGAGCATTCTCTCTGCCTTTCGGCAGTTTGAGTAAGGTATTATAATGTATCATAACGGGATTACGTTTGTCCGGGTCCCCCGCGGATTCCCTCGAATCTGATTCGATGCGAATCTCATTTTATGGGAAATAGGCAATGTATCATACCGGTCATCCTGAAGCTGAGAACTAATTTTTCAACCCTTTCCTCTGCTACCGTAGTGCTGCTGGCGAAGAGCAGATGTTTCGGCAATTCATTGAACGCCGTTCTTATGTGCGGGTGTAGTTCTGTATGTATGTATCAGAAACTTCCGCCTCCGCTGGAGCCTGGGAGAGGGGGGGCAATTTTTTGCTCGCGGACCAGCTTTTGGCGCAGGGGTTTGTCGGACAGCCCAAAGGCACAGCCCAAAAAAGTAAACGAAAGGCGGAGAAAGCGCTCACAGAGATTGGAGGCAAGCTTGGGGTGTGGTAGCAGGGGGTCTAATCCCAAAAGGCTGTGCTGGACACCCCATCGAACAGCGGACTAAACAACAAACTGCCCTGCTCTTTTGGCACCTAATTCATTCATTCATTCATTCATTCATTCGTTCATCCATTCATCCATTATTTCGAGAGGAAGGGGAAACGAACACCGACAACGACCCCCGTCAAGAAGTGAACGAAGCGAACAAACTTTAACCCGTCTATCTATCTACCGTATCTGGTCGACCGAACAAACGGTAGGAGAGAGTTGGATAGGGCGGGCTATCGTCTTGCAAAATTCGAGCCCTGACACCGGTGGGCTGAACTCGCCTTGGGCAGGGTCGCCCGCGCACGGCCAGCAAATAGTCTACCAGCAGCCACTCGCTCTCCTCACCGACACATGATAGTGGACAAACGAGCGATTCAACTTTCGTTTATCCCATTCTCTCCAACTCTCCCAAGTCTTTGAGGAAAAATAAGGCGATAACAGACAGATCTTAGGGCTGAAGTGGGGCTACCACCGATCAATGGGTTCACGCCAGCGTTCAGCGAGCGCTCTCTCGCAACACAACACCATTCATAGTAGTACACCCTCACCAGGAGGTATGGGAGGGGGCTCAGGAAATCACACCCTGCACGATCACGTAGATTCTGTTATGCTGAATGCTGTGGAGATACCCACATTCCATGGAAACTCGCTACCTATACCGACCTTTGTACCGGGTTCGGCATACTCCACAATAACCCCGAATCGACCTAGGGCTCACACGAGCGCCGATTCTTCACCATCGAATGTAGGTGTGGCGGCCTTTGGGGGGTTACAGCCACGGCAGCCCTCAAGGAACTCGATGATGCAGGGGCATCCGGGAGGGATGGGCGTTCGCCATGTATCGACGTCTGTACTGGATGGTGGTGGTAGGGTTCGCCCTGATGGGACTCATGGGAGCGGAGGTGTTGGAGGAGCGGGAGGAGCTGGCGGAGTCACTGGAAATGGGTTTCCCGTCGGATCGCCGCCGATGCAGAATGGGATGATTATTCCGCCTCCGCCTCCTCCCCCGGCCAAGGATGCGGGCTACGTGCCCAGTGTTGGGAGGAGCCATGGGCGAGAGGGTATGATGAATTACCACTACACCTCTCATCATCACCACCCACAGCAACAGCAGTACGGTGCATACACACCTCACCAACCCTCCACATCCTCCTCGACAGCCTCCTTGTCCCTGCCCAAACTCCCCCCTTTATCGGTACCCCACCAAAACGGTTTGACCAACGGTAACAATAATCCAATTTACACTCCTCACCTGCATCACTCCCACCATGCACATCACCCCCCTCACCACCCTCATCGTCCGAATGAAGCATTAATGTACCGACAACAATCTACACAATCCTCCGAGAGTATCGCTTCCTCCTTTGCTAGGACCGAATCAAACACCGATAGCGAATACATGACGCCCGCTATGGTTACTTCTTCTGGATCTGTGCCAGCGTCGGCAGGCAGCCGCAGCGTCTCTAATGGAATCACCCGTTCTTCTCATGTGTCTCATTCTCATTCCCAACAGTCACCCCTTGTATCAAATACAGCGGGTCCCCTTTCGCCGGATGTGGCGACTGTTTGGACTTTGGATAGTGTTGTTGCATATCTTAGCCGACATGAATTTTCCGAAGAATGGCAGGAGGCCTTCCGTAATCTCAACATACACGGGGCAGGGTTTTTAGAAATGGGGCAACACAACTCTACGAGTCTACTACAGATCGTGCTACCTGAGGTTCTACGGATTCGCGGCCCGAGCGCCGACCCTGTTAAGGAGAAGCTGGCGGCTAAAAACATTAAAAAGATGGTTCGGGAGATATTGAAGCTCTCCCAGGAAATCCCCAATACCCCTCCACCCGCTGGACATAACCCCCTTGAGAACGGAGAATCACCAGCGGGGATGGCAAACACATCTCAGAGATCTCCAGCTCAGACTCGGTTTCCCACACAAAGGGGAGCCACGTTCCCGGCTTCCAATATTTATTCTGAAACGTCCCACAACGCATCCGAGCCTTTTCTTCCACGAGGCGGAAGCGAGAATACTCTGCAACATAGAGTGGGGGCATCGGAATCGCGGTCCAGAAATGAATTCTCAAAGGGGGCCTTGGCTAGTGCTGACCAAATTTCCAGACATTCCCCATCAAATTCTGATGCCAGTATACGCGACCCAGCTGACGGCCATGCATTTGGGAAACAGGCGCTTTCTAGCAGTCCGCGAAATTCTCCACACCTAGGATATCAGTCCGTGAGCCGTCATGAGCCCATCTCGACTCGTCATGGAAAATCAAATTCCCAAGAGTCCGTCACATCAAGCACCGTGAACCACAGGCCAGGAGATGGGAAGGGCAAAGAGAAGGCCCTTATTGTTCTGGGCATAACGCAGAACGAACGGCCGATTGCTCGCCAGGATCCCGATGGGAAATCGGGTTCTGGTCTTGTAGATAGGTTTCGAAAGAAATTCCGGAGGGAGACTTCGGATGATGATAACGAGGATGGTTCTCCCACAGGGCTGGGAACCCCGAATCTACCATTCACAATTCCTGAGAATAATGCAAGTGACTCTTCACTTGAGCAGGCCTCGGTTTCGTCTGTGGATGCCTTGAGGGGGAGAGCAAGTAATCCGAGATCTGCTCCTGGTGGGGGAACTCCAAAGAGCAGCAAGCCGGTATATGTGTTCGCGACAAGAGATGGAAAAGTATGGGTATCTATAGATGTGACGAGTTTAGAAAAAGGAGGGGAGATCAGAAAGGAAATTTGTCGCAATCTTGGAATCAACGACTATGATGTAGCAGCTATTCACCTGACTGAGGTTGGCCAAGAACCTAACGGTAAGCCCTATGGTCTATATACAGCATTTTTTTCTTTTCTTCCCCACTCTTCAATAACATTGCAATATCAATGTGCTGATAACTTGATTTCTGTTGCAGATGAGACTTTAACAGACCAGATGCTCAAGCTGTCTTGTCAAACCAGAGGGGATAGTATAGCTAGTTTGAAGTTCTTTGTGCAACCGGTGCCGATGTCTGCTTTTGATTTGCCAGCTGAAGACTCTATTGGACAAACATTGTCAAGTTCACCACCACACCAGAGCTACGCTTCAGACCCCCCAACCCGTCCCGCCAATGCCGGCCTAAAACCTCAACCTTTGCAACTAGAAAGAACACAAAAACAACTGAATCGGCGATCCTCTTCTCCCCACCTCTCGATTTCATCGGGAGATTCGACATTGAAGCAGAGCGATATCACTGGATCAGCTGAGACACTCCCTGGTACCGGCATGGATGGTTCTGGTGGTAGCTTGGATGATCTGCGAGAACGGTTGGCGCTTCTGAGGAGGTATCAAGATCAGGGGCCTAAGATTAATGTTATCCCCACACCTAGTCTTGGTCCGACACCACCGGGCCCGCATTCATCGGTTCAGCCATCGCCAAATGATCCTATACCGGAGCAAAGCTCTGGATATTCATCGTACACTGGTTGGGAGAACGATTATTCTGAAGCACCATCGCTAAAGCCTCTAATTCGAACTGCTACAAATGGCTCGCCTAGTGATAATGGTTTGTCCCCGGCATTACGCAAAAATGAGCTCTTCTTCGATGAGGATCCATCACCAATTACAAACTTTGCAACGCTGACCCATGGCCCTCCTCATAAAGGCTCTGCTGGCACCAATCAATTAGGGGCCGCCGCACAATATCGCCGTCAGGGACTTGAAATAATTGCCCAGCAACAGCAAGAACAACAGACAGGGTGGTTGGCTAAGAAGAAGAAGGAGAAGGAAACCGATACGGAGAGGCCGCCTTTTCAGAGGGTACAAACAGCAACCCGCAGTGCGCGGGTGGTTGATTTTGATAACCCCAGGCCCTCGCCATATGAGGATGTTAAAATGGAGACATTGATACCGCAACGCAAACCACCACCACCCCCATCCAATCGTAGCTCGATAGGATCTATCTCTAGGGTAGGGAGTGACTTTGGGCGAGGCTTGCCAGCGGATGCTGGCGGGCGTTACGCTCCGGCGACCAGGAGAGTGAGTATCGATAGGACGGCTGTTGCTACGGAGAAGGCGCCCGAGATGTCAGAGAGGGCTTGGAGAAAGGGTGTGTCGCCCTTGCACGAGGATCGCAGTCCGGTTACAGGAATCGGATCCTCGTTGATATCGGCAGGCATCTTATCTGCTCAGATTACCAGAACACCAATTCCCGGTGCGCCCCGCGAGTCTGCTTCTGCACCATCTTTGCCAGCGTATAGCCAAGTGGCTCCGCACCAGCAACAACAGTATCAGCCGCAAGGGCAGCAGATCCAGGAATCGCCGAGGCCGCGAGCAATGGCTAAAGTAGATTTTGGTCATTCGGGCACAAGTAGCCCTCAATCAGGTGGGACCCCTAATAGCCCTGGCTTTACGTGGGGCAAAGGGAATCAATTGTTCAAGATACCTGACTATCAGCCAGAGTATGAAACTGGGCCCGAGAAGCTTACCCTACAGATACCGGCGGCACCTCCCCCACGGCAAAGCTCTCCCGAAATCAGCCCGGGCGACCGCGACGTTATCCTCGGCATCCGAAAGTCAACACTCCCGGCGGGTGCTCCAATAGACATTCAAGGGAACGATGTTCAATTCCTTTCACAGGCCACGCCCACAAGCGCAGAACCTCGAGTGCAGGAGGAGGAAGAGGATGAAGATAGTGATGAAGATGATGGTTTGTTTGCAATACCCATCTCCTCGCGGAGCGAAAAACCGAAAACCGAATTCCCTAAGACAGAGGAGAGAAATATGGACTCGCCCAGACCTACGTTGACAATTGCTACCACAATTGCTCCCAAGAATGTTACCTTTAAAGCTACGCCCACTACATCTGCGACTGCCAGTGGAAGCAATGGTGCGATGAATTCCCCCGAGTTCGAGCAAGGAGATGATAAGTTAGGGCTGAACTCCCCTGCTTCTCATAACATATCTGCTCCAGGTTCTGCTGCAGCGTCAGCCCACTCCCCAGCTGATTATATGCGCTTGGGTCGTCGGGAGTCCTTTGGTAAAGACGACGTATGGGCGTCACGTCCTCCCGCGGAAGCCCTTATTGATCATCTTGACGATTTCTTCCCGGGCCTGAATTTGGATCAACCTATTCCGGACGAAGTTGGCGTGTCTCCACCCCCCTCACCTTCACCTGCCACCGAGAACAAGCCTCAGTCATACCAACTGGCTGATATCCCGTCGGAATCTCCAAGTACTTCTGAGCCCCCAGGAGCAATGGGACCGCCACCCCCCCCGGTTAGTAAGGGCAAGAATGTCCCAACAGTTGTGCAGAGAAACGTTGGTCGTTCACAATTGGGCCGGATGAAGTCTATCCGTGAAGTTGCCAGAGGTGCCCATGAGAAATCAAAGAGGTTTACGCAGACAAACACAGCTGGCTTAAAATCTGGCGATATATCTCGCAGAAAGAGTACAAAGATGTTCGGAGCTCGCTTGATTGAAGTCACGCCTACAAAACGTGGAGCTACGTTGCAAGCACAACAAGCACCACCAGCAGCTCAACAACAGAGTGGAATCAAGCGCCAAGCTACCTTCCGATGGTTCAAGGGTCAATTGATTGGCAAGGGTACCTATGGTCGAGTCTACCTTGGCATGAATGCAACCACGGGAGAATTTTTGGCTGTCAAGCAAGTGGAGGTATCGAAAGGCTTGTCAGCCGGTGATAGTGATCGACAAAAAGAAATGATTGCTGCGCTTAACCAGGAGATCGAGACTATGCAGCATCTCGACCATGTTAATATTGTCCAGTACCTCGGGTGTGAGAGAAAGGAGATGAACATGAGCATCTTCCTAGAATATATCTCCGGTGGCAGCGTTGGCAGTTGTTTAAGGAAGCACGGCCCTTTCGAAGAATCAGTTGTCAGAAGCTTGACTAGACAGACATTGAGCGGATTGGAATATCTACACAGGGAAGGGATCCTCCATAGAGATCTAAAAGCAGATAATATCTTGTTAGACATTGATGGGACCTGCAAGATTTCCGATTTCGGGATTTCTAAGAAGAGCGGTAAGTGACGTGTATTTTTTTTCTACTGGGTTCCATGTACCTAACCACCTAGTGCAGACAATATCTATGGTGATGATCCTGGAAATTCAATGCAGGGCTCCGTGTTCTGGATGGCTCCTGAGGTTATTAGACCTGAGGGTCAGGGTTATAGCGCTAAAATTGATATTTGGTCCCTCGGATGTGTGGTTCTCGAAATGTTTGCTGGCCGCCGCCCCTGGAGCAAGGAGGAAGCGATTGGAGCTATCTACAAACTTGGCAGCGAGCGCCAGGCGCCTCCGATTCCCGACGATGTCGCAGAAGTCATTTGCCCTAGTGCCATAGGATTTTTGGCTGATTGCCATACAATGTGAGTTGTGCCTTTACATCCTACATAAGAGCATTTTCGATTAACTTTCTCGTAGTGAGCCTTCTGAGAGGCCAACTGCTGCAACTTTATTGAACGAACATGAGTTCTGCTCCCTGGATCCGAGCTTTAATTTCTTGGATACAAGTCTCTATCAAAAAATCAGGGGCCTCAAATTCTAGTTTCGAATCCTTTCGATTGTTCGGCTGAAAGCGTTTGGGTCTGCCTTCTGCTTGATTTCCTTTTTTTTCGCTTTTCTCATTGTAATAAAAGTTTACTGCCCTTTGCAGTGAGAGCAGGTATTATAACCAACCTTGTCCTTCAACAAAATTTGTGATTTGTTTCTCTGGGCGTTTGCTCTCTGTTATACCGGGTTTTATGTTTTATTGTTATCCAAATTTTGTTTCTACTCTTCCTTATACATTATTGACTGATTAGTTGTATTGTTCTGTTGCGCGTTTGTTCAGAAGCTGGGTCCTTCTTTCTTTCCTTGTATGTACGTGGCGTTCTATGGCATATATGAGTGATATTCCACTGGCGGGAGGGAGGAGGGAGGAAAAGTATTGTAAATCGGCATTTGGCGATAGTTGGTGTGGGGTTGAGTGGGATATCCTAATACGGTATCTAACAAATGATAATTGAAATGATGATATCATATCATAGTTGGGCTGTTGCGACTATGCGGTGATGGGTTTGCCTAGGGTTGAATTTGCGGTATTATGCATTTGACCTTCAGACTGAGTTCCCGTAAGACGGGCTAATGATCATTCTTGGAGTTCAATTGGGTGCTCTGGTGTTTAAAACTGCTATTCTTGTTACAGTATCCTACTGTGGAAACTTGGGTAAGTTAATCGGGCCATGTGCTCTGTAATTGAAAATTCCCTACTTTGGAAAGGGGCGAAAAACGTAGCAAAGAATGAGCTGCTTAGACCCTCTCAGAGACACAAGGAAGGCAATAAGTCAAGGCACTAAACCTTACTACCGGTAGAGGAGACAACTCTAGCAACACAGCACTTTGTTCTGTCATTCGGGGTTCTACTCGAGTACGGTACGTACCGCCATCACAGTACTATCGTGCTTGTCTGGGAATAGTCTTGACTCTTATTTCTTGTTTTCATTTATGATGGGGGGGATTCCACTCATAGGAGTTATAGGAGCGCCGTATTTTAGATCATTAATATACCTTAAGTTCCAGTATGATACCGGCACCCTCTTTATTAATTTACTAGAGGCGTTCCTGTCCGTCACACAAACAAGTTAATAACCCTGAGCCGGGTAATCGCACCCCTCCGGGTAACTCCACTCCCCGGCATACCAACTTGCTAGCCAACTGGGCAAAAAAAAAAACCTCCCACCGCAGCAATCTGTTTGCCATTTCGCCCTAATTGCGACCATCGTTCAATCTTTTTCCTTTCTCCCCCTTCCTCCTTTTTTTTCATCCCCTCCCTCTGAGCAATTGCCTCGCATCAATAAACTCCGTCGTTATGCATCCTTTACAACGAGCGTCATTCGTAGTGGCAGTGGCGGCAAGCCGATACTCGACTTCAGCTTTTCGGATTGGTGGGAATCAACGGGTGCTTCGAGATCTACTACGTTCGCCTAGGAGGGGTGGTTTGGGGAGTGGGAGTGCGATGCTGGGCGGAGGGGCAAGGTTTGGTGTTCTTCGGAGTGAATTTTCTACCTTGCGGCCGCTATATGAGAGAGTAGAAACTTCCGGTGCCAGTGGGGAAAGAGCAGAGGCTTCTTCCTCCTCCGGTACAGAAGGAGAGAAAGAGAAGGAGAAGGAGAAGGAAGAGGAACAAGAAGAGGAACAAAAGAAGGAAGAGCCGCCCCCACCACCTCCCCCACACGGCGATAAATCTCCCCTGACGGTATTCTACGAAACACTTCAATCCGAATTCAAGAAGTCCCAGGAATGGCAAGAGTCGACAAAGCAACTCGCCTCCAGTGCCCAGCAGTTTACTGAATCACCTGCGGTGAAAAAGGCCCGGGAAGCGTATGGCACCACCGCACAAGTCGCTGAGAAGGTTGGTGGTAAGGCCGCTGAGACCCTAGGCAAGACTGCCTCGGCGGTTGGTAAGGGTGCGGTGTGGACTTGGGAGACTCCCGTAGTTAAAGTTGGCCGAGCGGCGGTAAGGAAGACCGGAGAGGGCGTAGCGACCATAACTAAGCCGGTACGGGAGACGAAGGTGTATAAGGACGTGGTTGGGAACGTCAAGGAGGTCATTGACGACGGGAGTAGTAGTCGGTACGGTGGATACCTGGAGCGGGAGGAGCGTAAGCGACAGAGGTTGCTAAGGGAGAGCAAAGGCGGTGCTAAAATCGAGAAACGTGAAGAGAATCCAAAGTACCATCCTCCGCCTTCCTCCCTTATCCAGGAACCTCTAGCTAACATCACCCTAGCGCGGGGACAAACGTGACCCTACACAAAGACGCTGCATGGAAAGAATCCTGGCGAACCTTCCGCGATAGCAACAAACTCATGCAATCTCTCTTCACTATGCGCAAGTCCTATGAGGAATCCGACAACCCGGTAATATCCGTAACCCGCTCAATTGCTGACCGCTTTGCCGGTTTCTTCGCTGAGAACGAAACTGCCCTCGTGATCCGCAAATTCCGAGAAATGGACCCAAACTTCCAGGTCGAGCCCTTCCTGCGCGAGCTCCGCGAGTACATATTGCCCGAGGTGCTCGATGCTTACTGCAAAGGGGATACAGATGTGCTTAAAGCCTGGCTGAGCGCGGCGCAGTATAACGTCTACGCGGCTTTGAACCAACAGTACACTGCCAATGGACTTAAGCTCGATGGGAAAGTCTTGGATATTAGGAATGTGGATATCCTCTCCGCTAGGATCCTTGAGCCGGGGGAGATACCGGTTTTCATCATCACCTGTAGGACGCAGGAGGTGCATGTTTACCGGGACTTGAAGACGGGCGAGTTGAAGGCGGGCATGGAGGATAAGGTGCAGCAGGTCACGTACGCTATCGGGATCACCAGGCTCCCCGATGAAGTGGCGAATCCGGAGACGAACGGGTGGAGGCTTATTGAGTTGCAGAAGAGTGCTAGGGATTTTATTTGATCGTTTTGACCACGGTGGTTATGTTTTTTTCCTTTGCTGCGCTACTTGCACTTGATTTGGCTTTGATTCCTTGGTCTTTGGTTGATTGGTGGAATGGTTGGTGGATTGGTTCCGTATATGTATGTTCTTTTTAGATATGGGTCTCGGAGTTATTTTTGTTCTCGTTCTTTTTCCCTTTTTTTACATGGTTACCTCTTCTTGGGCTTCATCTCCGTCTACCCCATTTCTCTTGCTAGCTTTCACAAAAGTTCTGACCAAAACTCAATTTTTTATTTGTTTTTCATTTCTCTTCTCCTGTAAATGTTTTCTTAGACCTTTACGACGACGCAACTCTTCTCCTCTCTATTTTCTGTTACGTTGCCTGATCTTGTATATTCAGCGGTCTGGGGTAGGTAGGCGGGTGTTAGTGTAGACTATGGTATCATATCATACCCGAAGTTTACCTGGAGTGAGTGCACTTTAAGGTAGAGAGGTTCTTGTCTGAGTTGGTGAGTTGACCCGATTCAGGACAGGCGTTGTATAGGTCGGTTTTAGATTGCAAAAACTCCCGGTCGGGCGGTAGGGACTGAAATGTATCATAGTTATCATAATTGAAAAACAAATTTGGATATCGCGGATACGGGGAGCAAATGAAGGGGGTTTTTCCTCAGTAGGTATAATACCACGAGTGATCGCTTGTGACGATCATTCAGGGAACATGTATAGGGGAACTTGAGTCGACACTTGATTAACTATATAGTTAGAGTGTACGTGAGGTTTTGCACGTGGCGGGCGGTTTATCCACAGTGGCCATGCCTTCCCGAGAGAAGTCTACAGGGAGGTCGGGCCCTGCGCACTCCGCAGAGTTCAACATCTGCCTCACTGCCTCTGGCTGGTTGTGTGTCGGTCTGATGATTGGGCGGCTGAAGTTTTATGCATGATATAGTGCTGTAGACCGCGGGGGTGGTCATACAGCTTCACTCATATCACCTGTAATTATGGAATTGGAGGTGGGGGTCTTATCCTGGAGGGGGCAGGTTTCGGTGATTGGTCACCCTGTCAATATTCCGTGTTCTGGTGTCTTTGTCATGGGGTGGGGGGGTGTTCAAGGTTGTGGTGACGTTTTTTTGCTAGTTGGGGGCTATCTGGTCTGATACTGCTTTCCTTTTATTTCCCTTCTCTGCTATGAAAATTCAACTAGTCATTCATTCAACGCCTATCTCGAGTGATGGCCGATGACGTCTCCGGAGAATGTATTGTACCAGTGATCATGGGTCCATATCTCCCCCGTCGTCCCGGGGGTGATGGAATGGAATTTTCTTGGAGGTGGTTTGTATATGGGTGTAGTTATGCGAAAAAGGTACAACTTTGAAAATGAAACAAATAATATAATTGAATTCATATAAAACTTCTCTAGCGTGTAGAGTATCCTTTGATCCTAAAAACTATTTCTCAAGAAAATTGAGTTTGCTGTAGGCCAATAAAGTCAATATTTTGAAACATCTGTTTTGTTTTTTATTATATAATATGCATTCAACTACATTCGTTGCATTTTCAAAGTTGTACCTTTTTTTTTTTCTTCCCATAACTACACCCATATTATGTTGACTTTTTTTTCGTAGTATACAGGGGGCAAGGAGACGGTGGCTGATGGCCACCTATTTGGTTGGGTTGAGTGGGGTTCATAAAATGATGGAAGTCGTCTTGACTATGGAAAACCTCATCGAGCAAGAGGCCCACCGCAAACTCTATTCTGAGACTCAGAGATATATAAAAAGCACCTCTTCTCTATTATCCCACCTCCCTCCACCTCTCCCACAAACACAAACACACAGAACACAGTCAACCGGAGAAACCAAACCTCACGTAAACCCTTTCTCTCCTCTTCAAAATGCAGTTCAAACACCTCCTCGCATTCGCTCTCATATCTCTCGCTGCTAGCATCGTGGGAGCCGTTCCCTCCCCCCTGACTGCCTCCGCATCCCTCGAGGTCCTCGGACAAGACTATGTCTCTCCCGTCGACTATGATGTCGTCAAGGCCCTCGTAGCCGCCGGTGACTACGAAGCCCTCAGAAAAATGTTCTCCCCTTTCTGGAACAACCCCACAGCGGCCGAAGGTGGGGTCTGTGAGACTTCCCAAGCCTCGCCACCAACCGGCGAGGCATACGGCGCCATTGAGGACCTCAACACCCGCAGTACCTGCTGTCAATGGAACCCTTTTGAGACCCAGTGCTCTAACCTCACCAACCACGGAGGGGCCAGTGTTGGATTCTGCGGAGCTTATAAGGCTTGTCTGCAGTGTGCTCCGTTCGTGAGGGATCGCATGTATAACATTGCATTTTACTGCGCTCGTCCGGATCCTCAGGGGGTGTATAGATCTGGGGGGAAGTGGATATTGGATGGAGCCGGGCCGGGGGCTAGATTGATCCTGTACCATAACTAGATGGTGTTGGGATTTTCTGATGTTTACCTTTCTAGGTTGTTTAACAGGTCGAACAATTTATTATTATTTTGAGACTTTTCTCCTTTCTCCGTTTTCGTAGTTCCACCAGTGATCTTTAAGAAGTGAGGATGGTTTTCAGTGTCCAAAATGGTAGACAATTACGATGATCTACTCATGGTAAGATTTTATAGCCTTAGTGGCGGAAGTAATCAATTTGCTCATACAACAAAGCCCTCGCTTCCCGGCGACTTATGCATGGCAATTTTCGGGGAACCAGCGGGTCTGAATCCGGATATCTTTTAAGGCAAGGGACCGATATCCTCCAGACCAACTCTTCGACGGTTCTTAAGTGTCACCTCGCAGGTGACGACGACACCTTCTAAACACGCCAACCTCAATACCTAGTATCCATTCAGCAAGTGGACGGAGCAAGCAGCAAGGATCACGGGTGTGCGCTGTGTAGGCTTTAGTGAGAGTCCAGATATCACTTGCACGCTCCACCGAGAGTCATTTTGCACGATGAGAACTGATAGTCCTCGCAGCCATCCTCGGGACAAACTTTTAACTCCTCGAGGTCCACGAATCTCAAAATTGGTGATGCTGCAAGGGAGGGGGGATTTTCAGTCAACTCCCGATTCCCCAGTAGTAGTTCTGGAGCTATTATAGGGTAGTCGTGTTGGTCTCGGGTCTTCCCTTTCTGCTGTTGGGGGCTTGCTCCTTGTGTTTTTCTCTTTAGGTGGCGTCGGGGAATTGGGGGAAGTGGAGGGCTATTGTTGTGGTGATATAGTGCTCTTTGGAGGGGGTTAGAGGGTATGTGCAGGAGTTCTGGCTGGAAACATCAACGTTATCGATATTTTATTGTTCGTTCGAGTGATGGCCAGTGATCAATGTGGAAATTGTTGTGACGGTGTCTGTATCTAGTTTTTGATCTGGACTCTAATAGGATAGAGTTTGTTTGTCATGGGTTTTGTGTGCTAGTTTTTCTGCTGTTCTTGGGGAGTTGGGGGCGGTGGTTGAGGGCTATGGTACCCTGTCCATTGAGATTGTCTGATCGATAGATGTAACCCTAATCATGGAAAACCTCATGCCTCGAGCAAGAGGTTCACTACAGGTTCTATGCCGAGACTCAGAGATGCGTATGGTAAAAAGAATCTCCTCTCCCTCATTCCCCTTCTCCCCCCACCTCTCCTGTGAAATCAAACACAGAATACAATCGACCAAAGAAACCTCGTCTAAATTGTGATCACCTCCAAACCTCACACCAACAGTTTTTCTCCCCTTCAAAACGTATCCCGAACCCCTCCTCACCACCACTCTCATCTCTCTCGCTGCTATGATACCCTCGTCGGTACTGCTCCCTCCCCCCTGACTACCTCCACCTCCCTCGAAGTCCTCGGACAAGACCATGTCTTTCTCATTGACTATGATATCGTCAAAGCCCTCGTAGCCGCCGGCACTACGAAGCCCTCAGGGAAGTGTTCTCTCCCTTCTAGAATAACCCCACAGCGGCCGAAGGTGGAGTCTGTGAGACTTCCCAAGCCTCGCCACCAACCGGCGAGGCATACGGTGCCATTGAGGACCTCAACACCCGTGGTACCTGCTGTCAATGCGCCACTTTGGTGGCCGGGTGATCTAACCTCACCAATTGCGGAGGGGCCAGTGTTGGATTCTGCGGAGCTTATAAGGCTTGTCTGCAGTGTGCTCCGTTTGTGAGGGATCGCATGTATAGCATTGTGTTTTACTGCGCTCGTCGGGATCACGCAGTAGTGTATCATAGTATAGAATTTGGGGGAAGTGGATATTGGTTGGAGCTGGGCCAGGGGCTAGGCTGGCCTTGTACCCTAATTAGATGGGGCGATTTGTTGATATTGTATTTTTTGGGGTTGATAAATTGCTTAGGCCCTGTTGGGTTGCTTACTATTCTGATCATATAATTTGTTTTTTATGATCACAAAAGTTGCAAACAACATATATGTTGCGGGGAGGATATGACCTCTCTGATTGGCCAAAACATTGAAAATATGAAATATTTTTGTGCCGTGCCAAACACCCTCAACCTCAACATTTTTTATGGAGAAATTTAGGCCCTGCTAGGCTTGCCACAAAAATCGCAATTTTTCCACTTTAATAGGATTTAAATTGGGCCGTGCCCGGCTTGCCACAAAAATTGTATCCCAATTTTTTTAAATTGTGAATTTTATCAGATGCAAATAGGATATAGGGTTATATGAAAGGGTTTCTATAAAGATAATATACAATTGGAATACTGTAGTAGATACAACTTGAAATTAATTTCATATATGCTATTCTGAGTTCACCAATCTTTATTAAATAATTTCAAGCAATCAGAGAGAGGAAAACTGCAGTTGAGAGGTGAAATTGCTGGTATCATAAGAAGAAATAAATGATAGGCAGTCACTCTGTGAAGAACAAATAATATAATTACTAGAAAGGTTGTGTCGATTAGGCCAGCACCCTATATAAAATAAGTGTTTAGAACTAGGGTAACATAAGAATCTAAAAAATCATAGTTGTTACCGAGCACCAATTTTTCTATTTCACAATATATCCTATTTTCAACTTTTATTGTGATTTTTTTAAATTGGTACAAGCAGAGCAGGACCTTATTATATTATAAAAACCACTTTGATGGCTTAAAAATAACCAACCGAACAGGACCCTATTCGTCTAACATTGAATTCCCTTTCCCGATAGTGACCCTAAATCAGTGGAAAGAGCGTATGCATTCCTGCGCCGGAAATTGTCGATGCATACATTTATATAAAGTTTCCCTTGGAGCAGCAGCGAACGACAGCCCTCCGATCGTATTCTAATCCCCCATATCACCATATCCCCTCGTCCCCGAAACGTCGGTTCTAATTGCCATGCATTGAGATCACCTGGCTCACTCTTCCACCAAAACCGCTTTGGATATCACATCTCATTCATTCATAAATAGCCTTAGCGCATGTTTGAAGGGCTCTAAAACATGTGCGATGGCTATGTTGTTTAGCTTCTTAGACAACAACCGTGCTAAAAGGGCACACCCTTCCCTCCAATTGATGGTGTATTCATCTGGGAATGTTGGAATTCATTTCTCGACACAACTTCTCTGGCAGTGCCGGGAACGTCGGTACGCGTAAACCCGGCGAACCAATTCCAAAAACACCCTCCAGGGGCGGAACTCGATCGCTCTCCACCTCCGATGAAAGGGTACTCTTAGCTGCACTTTGGCCATGCTGTCGTACTTGGGTACATACTGCCCCCAGAAAGTATGCCATTTCCAATCCGATCCCCACTGGTGCGCTGTGAGAGGCGGCGAAAAACTAGATGATTGAACACCGTGGATTCAGATGTCACAACTGTTCCTACTCCTTGTCCGGTGGGAAATACCTGCCTGGGCGCTTTCCCGCTTGTTCGGCCAATCTCTGATTTTTCAGTACTACTCAAGTCCTCGAGAGTTACGCTGATGAACACTTCCATGAAGATCACATCTAAACCGGTATCAGATAGTTCGAAGAGTACACCGTTCGCCATAAAGAGGATATGTAAGGACCCCAAAGTCTAAAAAAACACCCAGAACCACCTGGTTAATTACTTTACCAGCATTCTGGGAATGCTCTCCAGTTTTACTGACTGTTGACACTGGAAGGCGCTTGAAAGTGGAACATCTAGATCGGGCTCAAAGCCGTGGAAATAAAGATGGTTTTTTTTTTCCCCCCCTTAAGTTTGCCAATTTTGTACAAGGAGGATCTGTGGGTTTGAGTATTATTTGGGCTCATTTTCGTTAAAGTTAGTGGAGGAAATGCTTCAGAGTCAATACTTGCATCAGGAGGATATTGGCAAGTAGTTAGTGATTAGGAAGATCGTCTATCAGGGGGTGGGGTTGTTGAAGGACAATGATATTGAAATTTTTCTATGCTTGGATAGCAGGAAGGGGAGTGGTAAGGCACTTGTTAAGGTTTATTCCCTAACACATTAACTATGATATCATACTACTTAGCTAAGACAGTGCTTTACTGATGAAGATATATGGTTTTGG